TGGGGGTGGGTTGTGCAAGTAAGGCCCAAGGTGTGGCACCCTGAAAGGTAGTGGATGGGTGGCAGTCAGCTCCAGGCAAAGGCGCAGGCTGGGATGAAAAACCCAGCTCACTTTCGCTTCCATGTTTTCTTACCTCCCCTCAGGTCACACCTGCGCAGTTTGAGCCAGGCATAACAGTTGTAGGAGAAAAATAAAATGGGGCTTTGGATCCGCCAAGCCAGATCTTTCATTTTACAGATGAAATAGAACCCGCAGAGGGAAAGACACTTACTGGAGACCGCACAACTGCAGTCCTACAAATAAAGCTGAAGAGAAAATGGAGAAGAAGAAAATGATGCAAATGACCAAAGACCTCATCTAGAATATATTCTGTTGTTTAACTTATAATTTTAAAATTTAAATTGTTTTAAACCCCAGCATTCACCTCATGAGTTAAAAAACACCACAATGCCACATGGAACTTACGAATCTCCTTCAGCTGATCATATGCATCTTTTTCTTCCTGTACCATTTTCTTTCTACTCCAAACTAGCATCTTTCCCTCCCTGGGTTTCTATTTCATCCTTAAAAGGAAGGAGCTGGCCTAGCTGATCTCAAAGCCCATTATTACTCTTTATGATAAAGCAAAACCTTCATTTCATAAACTCAGCCAGGTTGACTGGGTACATATTTACTGGACATACAAGTGGGTAAGATCCTCTTGGGGTTGGGGCGCCTGGGTGGCTCAGTGGGTTAAAGCCTCTGCCTTTGGCTCAGGTCATGATCCCAGGGTCCTGGGATAGAGCCCTGCATTGGGTTCTCTGCTCAGCGGGGAGCCTGCTCCCTCCTCTCTCTCTGCCTGCCTCTCTGCCTACTTGTGATCTCCGTCTGTCAAATAAATAAATAAAATCTTAAAAAAAAAAAAAAAAGATCCTCTTGGGGCTACAGTCCAAGTCAGACAGCTGACTGCAGTCAGATGTCTCTTTAACTGGACCCCTGGCAGGCTCAGTCTAAGGGCAGCCTAGCCTAGGTCCCTTGGATTCATGTATCTGGTTGTAATGCTGGAGAACATTAGCCATGAACAAAAATTACCTTGTTGAGAATAATTGCAAATTAAATAACTTTGCAAGTTAATTTTAAAAACAAAAACTCAGGGATGCCTGTGTGGCTCAGTGGGTTAGAGCCTCTGCCTTTGGCTCGGGTCGTGATCCCAGGGTCCTCAATCGAGCCCCACGTCCGGCTCTCTGCTCGGCAGGGAGCCTGCTTCCCTTCCTCTCTCTCTGCCTGCCTCTCTGCCTATTGTGATCTCTCTCTGTCAAATAAATGAATAAAATCTTAAAAAAAAAAAAAAACTCAGAGGGACGCTTGGGTGGCTCAGTTGGTTAAATGTCGACTCTTGATTTCAGCTCAGGTCATGATCTCAGGGTCGTGAGACTGAGCCCAGCAACCGGCTCCATGCTAGGCATGGGGCCTACTTAAGATTCTCTCTCTCCCTCTCTCTCTGTTCCTCCCCCTACCCCCCCCCCTCTTAAACAAACAAACTCAGAGACACAGTTAATAAAAAATTATGATGTGAGAATAATCTTATTTTAGTTTCTAGTCCCTCATCGTTTCTTGCCCTCCTTCTATATCCTATCTTTGGCTCATTTTGTCCACTTCCTAGTTTCTAAGCAGAGTCCCCTGTGTTTGGCTGGAAAAGCCCTCAGATGCCATTAGCGCCTTGAAGTGCCTGGTAGGGTCAATCTTCCCACATAGTTAATCACATCCCAGTCACTGAACACCCTTGTCTCAGATAACAGAGGTATCTGGGGAAAAGCTTCCTTGAATAGACATTTTTCATAAGTCCAAGCCCGTGAGGAGAGAGTGGGGCCAGGCCACCAGGACAAAGATGGAATGCTAGGATGCATCTGGGGCTCCACTGACAAATGAGGAGACTTGAAAAACAAGGGGGCAAGTGACTGGCTGAGCAAGGTGGCTGAGCCAGAAGCCGAAGTGAGGTCTTCCGATGCCTGGCCCTTGAGACCCTTGCAGGGACTACATTGCCCTTGAGGTGACACCACTTGGGGCCAGCCTGAGTCGCCACAGCTAGGTTGGAGCAAGAGTCTGTGGGTCCCTTCAGCTCAGCCCAGAGGAGCAGAATAGCATTAGGGAGGATTTGTGAGGAAATCCAGGGCAGCACAAGCTCAGAAAACGTGGGCTCAGAAAACATAGGTGTTAGGTGAAATTTTGTTGAACTGAAAAACATTTTCTGGGGCTTGTAGAGGCTTCAAGCTTGACTTGAGGGTAGTTGGCAAGGTTAGTAATGGTCCAGAAACTGCCAAATTAATGTTCGCATTATTGTTATGCAGATGACTTTGCAGGAATAGGGGGTCCTAGTGGCCAGCAGGTGGCACTAGAGCCCAGCGCTGCGCAGATTAACGCCTGGAATTTGAAACTGTAGCAGGTGTGTTGGTCTGATGTGAGGGAGAGGGCCCAGGCGCTGAGATCTCGGTTTCCTTCCTGTCCCACTCAAAGCTCAGCCTCAGATGTAGCAACAGATGACTGAAGCTACGCAGCCTCCACTCAGCGCCTCTGTCCTATCCTCCCGGCCTGAGAGTGCATGGAAGACAGGGGACCTGAGTTCCCTGTTGGTCCAGTAATCGCTGGTTCTCTGGCTGAACAGAGTCGGAGCTACCTGCATCAGGTCCCACTTTTTCTCACTGGTTCTCGTGGGAACCAGGGGATTGAACATTTTTATGAACGTTTTTAAGGGACTGGAACTTGGATATTCCTGTGCTGTTGGGGAAGGCCCTAGCCAGAAGGCTTGGACCAATGGCAGGGCAAGTGAGGAATTGGTCAAATCCAGGTGGATATTAAAGATCGAGCAGATAGGGCACCTGGGTGGCTCAGTTAGTTAAGCGACTGCCTTCAGCTCGTGTCATGATCCTGGAGTCCTAGGATCGAGTTCCATATCAGGCTCCCTGCTTAGCAGGGAGTCTGCTTCTCCCTCTGACCCTCACCCCTCTTTTCCTCCCTCTTTCTCTCATTCTCTCTCAAAAATAAATAAAATCTTTTTTTAAAAAAAGATCGAGCATATAAATGGAAGGCATTTCGCATTAACGACAGGTCTTTTCGCCTCTGCCCTAGCTAGGACAAAATCCCGCTAAATAGTGCATTATCCGTTTCTCAGCAGAGGCGCTTCTCAGAGTGCGGCGGTGTGTGAAGAGGCTTTGGAGCACCTGATGGTCCCCGCCGATCCTCCTGGGCCAGGACCTCAACTGGACGTGTGAGATGGTCTTTTCAGCAGCAGTATTCCCAAGTCCAGAGCAGAGGCGGAGGTACTTGATATGGAGACAGGAGGTCATGGAGAAGAATGTGGCTCTTGATTGGCTGCGAGGCTGGTTAGCCCCGCGCCCGCGGCGTAGCCATCAACCCCCAGATGTGAACTGGCCTCTCACCTGTCTTCACCCAGTGACCAGACGACATTGGCCGACCAGGATACCTGACCTTCAGCAGCAGAGACGGCCAGGTAGGGCACTACTTCTCCGGAGGGGAGACTGCCAACCCTCTCTCGGTGCCCTCGGGGGGCCAGAATGCGTTCCCTAAACGGAAAGAAGGGGGCCATGAAAAACAAAACTCAACTTTGCCTCATTTGGCAAAAGTCTTCCAGGTGAAAGCTGGCTTTCAGGGCTCCACATACCACTCTTAAGTTGTCATTTTTGCCTCGTTTTTTGCCCTCTGTATATTCCTTACCAATTTTCCAGTGCATCAGTGTATTTTAAAAGGTTTTAAAAACTATTCCATCGGGCATTAAAGTTGTTTAGCCGCACCAGCAGAAACGTAAGTGCATTTGTGAGTTCCTTAGAGGAAACCCACTGATACCTGACTTGGGAGATAAGGCTTCGCTTCAACCTCTTCCAACTTTCTCAGTTCATTCTCACACCCCGTTAGTTCCACAGTCTCATAATGTGAGCTGCACCCTTCACCCACCGGGAGCTAAAGCGCAGCTGTTTTCCTGTGTTTCCACTTACTACACAATGAGAATTCAGGCTGCTCTCCTTACACACAGCCTGTTCTCTAATTCCCTTTCCCTTTCTCTGGAAGGCATTGGGTTTAATTATGTAACCGCCCCTCCCCCCATTTTCCCTGGGTGTTCTCAGTGTTTGAGAGTTTTCTTTCTCACATTTATCTTTGGGAGTGGGGGTAGAACCCTGCAACTCCCCCCCAGGTGGAGGACTTGCCATTCTGAGGTAATCTTTTCATTTACCATTCTAGTTTCCTTATAGAGCCTGCGAAAGAGGGGTGGTGTCGGGGCAACGGTTAGTAGCAACAGGGCAAATTCAGCGCTCGGCTCCCATTTTGTAATACCTGAGAGTGTCTAGCCCCAAATGCTTTGTCTTTCTTTAGAATGTGAAAGATCTAAATCCTCAGCTGAGTCCCGATTACCAATTCTGGGACAGCAGGAAAAGATTCTCTTATTCCCTTGGAGTAATAAGTGACTCGAGTTTCTTAGTCGTAGTAGGCGTGGTCTGGGGAATCAGTGTCCAAACACTCAGTAGTGACCCACGGGTGAACATGGCATAGGAGAGGCAACGGAAATAGCATCTTGTGATGATCACTTCATCACCCTTCACTGTCCTATTCCTATAGCTGAAGTCAGTACGTGAAACATATCTTACTGATAGGTTTACGTTTTTATTGCTGGCCTCGTCCAAAGCAGTGCGCACTAGCTCCCCGAAAGTAGGGTCTTTACTTTCCCATCTGCCGCTGAATCCGGCCCCTAGCAACATGCCCGTAGCACAGAAGAGGTGTTCAGTGACTGTTAAACTGGAATAAATGAACGTGCGAGTCTCCAAGCCACACCGCGCACTCCACCGCAGCTCCCCCGGTGTGGCGCCGCGACCTCCCAAGCGGGACCCACGCGCGCGGTCCTCTGGGAAGTGTAGTTCGCCACGGCCCCGGAGTTGCGGGACCGAGGCTCCGCGTGCGCAGGCGCACTTCCGGCTCTGCCCCGCCGCTGCGGCCATTGTCCGGCCCCAGTGTGGCTAAGGCCGCTTTGGGCTGTCCCTCCGCACATCAGAATTGGAGAGGACTGAACCTGCAGCGCGTGCAGGAGGAGCTGGCCCCAGCCCTGGGTGGGCCCGACGTCGCGAAATCCGGAGTCCGCAGGAGGCGGTAATTCCGAGCGCGGGTCAAGGCGGCACCTCCCACGGGTTTGGCTTGTATCCGCCCGGCCGCGCCCACCATCCTGCGGGTGGGACTGGGCGTGGCCAGAGGACGGTGTCCAGGATGCCGAGAGCCTTTAATTTGGTATCCGGGAAACGACAGGCCTAGGCGCAGTCCGCGTAGCTTCCCAAGCCTCTCCGGGAGAAGTGGCTGAGGGACGGAGGCGGGCCCGGCGCGGCGGGGAGGGGTCGGCGGTTGCAGCCGGGTGAGTGGGCCCTGTCCTCTCTTCCCAGCCCCAGTCTGAGAGCCGGCCCCAGCGAGGCAGGAATGGCCCCGAGGCCTCCGACGGCCGCGCCCCAGGTGAGCAGCGCGTTCCTCACTTCCCCAGGGCGTCCCTACCAGCCAGGCCCCCCGGGGCGTGTTTAGAGCAGTCATTGTTTTCCGCCTGTGAGACAGCCTTTCCTAGCTTGGTTATTCCCGCAGAGCCTCCAGCCCTGCGAAACCCAGGATATCCAGAGCTGAGGAGAGTGGGCGTCCCAAAACAGGGGCCGCACTGTGGGGAGGGGCAACCCGGGCGGTGCAGTTCTGCGGGAAGAGTTAAGAGTGAATGTGTCACTGTTGAGAGTCCTGAGTGCCAGTCCAATTCCTTGAACTATGTCAGGGAATGGAGAGGGTAGGGTGACAGGATAGAAAACTATAGAGGAGGAAGTTAACTGTTAGGGAAGGAGAGAGCAGCCCCAGCCTCTGACCCAGGGGCCATAAAAAGACGGTAGGAGCCAAAGAAGCTTGGCCAGGATTTGCCTTGAAAGAGGCTGGAGATGGGCCAGGAGGGAAAAAGAAAACATACGGAACAGGAAGGACCTGTCCCATAGCTTTTCTTGTTTTTTACCTTAACAAAGATATAATAGTGTATACCCCCACATGTCCAGCCTGCAGCTTCGTTAATATGAAGCTGTTTTTTTTTTTTTAACTCATGTATTGTGAGAGAGGAGGCATTTTCTAGAAGCATCACAACTCTGAGGTTATGCACTGATTTACCTAGAGTATGTGTGAAGATATAACAAAGTTCAGATGGTATTTTAATCCACACACTCTTTAGAATTAAGGAAAAATCACAAACTCCAGTTGCTAAGTGTGTGAGACTATCAGAATCAATCCAGGGGCGCCTGCCTGGCACAGTTGATTGAGAATGTGACTCTTGAACTCCGGATTGTGAGTTTGAGCCCCACGTTCGGTATAGAGATTACTTAATCCAGATAAAAATACTGATTAGTAATATCATATAAAAAGCAGTTTATGGTAAATTAGCGGCAACTGGGTGGCTTAGGTGTTTAAGCATGGGACTTTTGATTTCAGCTTAGGTCATGATCTCAGTCAGGGTCATGAGGTCAGATTCTATGATCAGCAGAAAGACTGAGATTCTGTCTCTTCCTTTCCCTCTGCCCCCTTCCTGTTCGCATGCATGTGCGCTCTTTCTCTAAAATAAATAAATCTTTAAAAAAATAAAAGTTTATAGTAAATTAAACATATAATGCCTTTATATGTTTTACTTCTTGTTGTGTGTTTTTGTTTTATAAAGGTGAGCCTTAAGGAGTAAAACAAGTAACAATACTAGAACAAGATAGTTGTTTGGTTTGACATGAGCCAGAGCAAATCAATCACTGGTCATCAGTGCAGTTCCATATAAAGTGCTTCCTCAGCAGGCTGTGAGAATTAGGACTGCTTAACACACTTAACATCTCATGGGCGTGTTGATCCTTTCATTAAGGGTTGCCTTTGTTTTTCTTCTTCTTTTATTTATTTTTTTTTTAAGATTTTATTTATTTGATAGAATGTACAAGTAGAGGGAGTGGCTGAGCAGGGAGCCTGATTTGGGGCGGGGCTCCATCTGAGGACCCTGGGATCAAGCTGTGAGCTGCAGGCAGATGCTTAACTGACTGAGCCACTCAGGTGCCCCAGGGGTTGCCTTTTTTTTTTTTTTTTTAAGATTTCATTTATTTATTTGACAGACATAGAGAGGGAACACAAGCAGGGGGAGTGGGAGAGAGAGAAGCAGGCTTCCCGCTGAGCAGGGAGCTGGATGCGGGTCTCCATCCCAGGACCCTGGGATCATGACCTGTGCTGAGGGCAGATGCTTAATGACTGAGCCACCCAGGCGCCCCAGGGGTTGCCTTTTTAATGGTGAAAGTAGATTTGTGTTCTGAGCAGTGACTGTTAGGGACTGCTTTAACTACACTTTCAAAACTTTGTTGCCCAAGTACTCTAGTTCAGTTATATTCTCTTGGGATGGCCTGACAGTTCCCTTGGATTACCTAATCCAGGCTGCAGGTAATGACCCTGGTGGAAAGACAACAACTGAATCCACAAAGGGGGTTTTTTGGTCAGAAATTTCCCTTTATCGAGTTTCCTTTTCTCTGAGCTTGACCCTCCAGGGAATGCAAGAGATGAGTAATCGAGTCATCTGACTGCTTCTCCTGGAGGTAAACTGAGAGGGGAGTAGCTTCCTAGAGAAGTATATAGCACAGGACAGGTGATGTTTCTGAGGTCCAGAGGCTGCTGTGCATACAGAGAGGAAAGTGGAAATTCTGCCTGTGGGAAACAGTCAGCGGAGATGCCATTTCTGCATAGAAGCAGAGTCCAGCAAGTGAAAGTGAAGGGGGTGGAGATAGAGCTGATGGAGTTGGTGCGTCAGGGATGTTGGGAGGCAAGAAGATGAAGGGCATGATCGTGAAACTGTTGTGTGTGACAGTGGGTATGGGCCACAGGCAGTGAGGAGATGAGAATAGAAGGGAGTTTGGACATTTTTCTTTGCGGCTGGGGTAACCCATTCATTCATTCGTTTATCTATTCATTCGGCTGATAGCCATTGAACCCCTGTGATGTGCTAAGACACTTTTCTAAGTGGTTGGGATATATTAGTGAACAACATTTATAATCTCTGCTTTTGTGGGGCTTACGTCCTAGAGGGAGGAGACAGAAAAATGCAGTAAGTAACTTTTATAATATCCTAGAAGCTGACAGTACCAGAGGGGAGAAGAAGGTAGAGAAAAGTAAGGGAGATGGGGGGGGTGGCTTGTGATAAGGGTACAGCTTAAATAACGAGGTAAAGGTAAGCCCTATTCTTACTGAGATGGGGGCCTCTGGGTGGACTGGCAGGAGGCAAGGGAGTCTGTGGGGCACAGGGCTGGCGAAGAGTGCCCCGAGCAGCAGGATTTGTGCGTCATGTGTTCAGGGAGCTGCGGGTGATTGGTGTAGCTTGAGTCACTGTTGTTGAGCAGGAAACTAAGATGACTTTTTCTTCGTTTTAAAGATTGCCGTGAATGACGAAATATAGGAGCAAGAATTTCAAAGTCAGAGCTCTCATGAAGAGGTGTTTGAGGGGTGGGACCTTCCTCTGGCATTTGGCCAGCAAACATCTGAAAGGACTCCAAGATGGAGGGGAACAGCAGCAGAGTGGGGGATACCCCGAAAATCCTTAGGATCTATATAGGATCATTAGTAGCTGTGTGTAAACATTAGGTATCTTTCTCTTCATTATATGCACTATGTTTTTAGTTAGGAATAAAAAAAGGTGAAACCACAAGAACAGTAAGAAATGGGGAAAGTTTTAGAAGAAAAAAGTTGCATATGGATTTCAGGTTTACCTTGACGGGGAGGAAGTAGAGAGGGACCAGGACCTGGTCTCCATGGACTCCAGATCCCAAGAGCTCCATGGTTAGGCTCATCAGGATGAACAGGCTCAGCCAAAGCTGTCTCGGGTCACCTGGACTCAGACAGGATGCTCCTGGACCCCCAGGGGCCACCAAGCCACTTGCTGAACCAGGTCAGGGAATGTTCAAGCTCCCTGTGGCCAGAGGTCTCCTTTCTTAGCCTCCTCCTGAGCTGCCTGGAGCCGGGCTTCAGGCCTCAGCCCAGACACACTTTCCCCTTTTGTGAGTTCACACAACACTTGTGCACAGCAGTCATAGTGCTGTTTTTATGTCCTAAGGAGTTGTGTGTTTACCCATCCGTGTCTGTACTAAGCTTTCAGCTAGCTCCTTTAGGGCAGGGCTGTTTGTCTGCTTTCATCTCTTTCTCCAAAGTACACGCTCTGTAAGCGGGTGTCAAAGTAGCAAACATTCCTAACCACTTAACCCCAGCAGTAATTCTGTACTTTGTGTATTTTCTACTAAACTAGCAAAAACTGTGTTTTTCCGGTAACCGTGACCCTAATTTTCTGATAAAATAATTGTGTGAAACAGTATAACTTTCACTGAACCCTTTTAAGGAATGGTCCTTTTTAAAATTTTTATTTTTAGTTTTTTAAAAGATTTTATTTGAGAGAGCAAGAGAGAGTGAGAGAGCACAAGCAAGGGGGACAGCTGAGGGAGCGGGAGAAACAGGCCTACTACTGAACAGGGAGCCCCACGTGGGGACTTGATACCAGCATCCTGAGATCATGACTTGAGCCGAAGACAGATGCTTAACCGACTGAGCCATGCAGCCACTCTCTGTCCTTTTTTTTTTTTTTTTTTAAGATTTTATTTATTTAGAAAAAGATTGTGAGCGGGAGAGGGGCAGAGGGAGAGAGAGAATCTCAAGCAGACTCCACGCTGAGCATAGAGCCTGACGTAGGGCTGACTCTCATAACCCTGAGATTGGGCCTGAGTTGAAATCAACAGTCAGACACTTAACCAGTTGAGCCACCAAGGCTCCCCAAGAAATTTTGTGGTTAAGACAATGTTAGGATGTCAAAACCTGATCTTCTAAGATCTATTTCAAAAAATATTTTTTTTTCCCTCTCTTTTCTATGTCTTGTATGTCTTATCAGGGGCACCTGGGTGGCTCAGTTGTTTAAGCATCTGACTCTTGATTTTGACTCAGGTCATGATCTCGGGGTCATGAGATCGAGCCTCATGTGTTGGGTTCCATGGAGCTCAGAGTCCAGTCAAGATTCTCTCTCTCTCTCTCTCCCCCGCTGCCCCTCCCTCTGCTCTCTCTCAAACAAATGAATAAAATCTTTAAATATTTATCTATCTATCTAATCAAAGTATGTAAGCATATATATAATACAGATTTTTTTAGTATAAAAAAGTCATTTGTGATCTTTGTTTAGTACCTCTTCATTTGTTGTGATGAATTGCCTTCATTTCTCTCTGTACATGTTTTTCCCTTCAACATTTTAAATTTCATATAATTTTTATGTGGAGTTTTCTTCTTCTTTTTTTTTTTAAGATTATTTATTTATTTATTTGACAGAGAGAAAGAGAGAGAGCAAGAGAGGGAACACAAGCAGGGGGAGAGGAAGAGGGAGAAGCAGGCTTCCTGCTGAGCAGAGAGCCCAATGTGGGGCTCTATCCCAAGACCCTGGGATCATGACC